TTGAGCTACAAGCTCTGAGCCGAGGGTCCCTGGGTTCTGCATTGCGAGTTTTTGATATACAATTTCCGAGCTGTGGTACGCCACTGACTCTACCTAGAGCCAACAGTAATTGAATGCGATCCAAATAGGATTTCGCTTTGTGCTGTAGCTTGTGCATGCTCCTATTTTGATGTATTGCGCAGATGCTATGATTTTCCAGCATCAGAAGAGTTATATCAATAACCTCAAAACTGCAGTGCCGGTGAACTCAACGGCATTGAACTTCACGGCATTCACGGCACGACACAAATACTAAACGCATTGACGCTGCCTGCATGCCACTCGGCGGTGAAGTCTCAAAAAGCCTGTACAAATGCGGTGGTGCGGAAAGCAAAACTTTTTCTTGAGGTGCGGCCGTGGCAGGCGTTTTTGTGGTTTCGACGTTCGCATTTAATTGGCTGAGTGTCTAAATGTTGTTGCAACCTTTCTATGAAGCCATAATTTCTTTAGTTTTGCATGCTGCCAAACAAAATAATGAAGTGGAAGTTTTGTGCATGCTAGAAACTATAGATGGGGACATTGAAGAAGACTAAACAGAAAAAAAAATAATATGTTTACAATTCCCCCCTCGCCCTCCCCCCTCTTTTTTCATGGGCCTTCTTGTTGAGCAGCCTGCCCAAGAAGGGCAAAGACTTTTTTGCACTGTTCTCCATAAAAAATAGCCGCAATCCGCGTCTCCCTTGTTGCTTTGTGCACTGCGCCTGTGCCGTTCTGAGCTCCTCGAGGGCTGTATTTAGCCACAGAAGGACACATTTTCATTTAAGTGGCATGTTTTCTGCCTGTTGCGCAAACAGGTATTTATAATACTGCCTGCCTGCAGCCTGCAGGTGGTATGCTGGGCCTCCAAACTGATTGTAGACAACACGGTCCCGGTCAGACTAGGCCTGGTGGTGGTAGTCGCCCTTCCAACGGCAGCAGTGCTGCCTCAGGCTGAAGGGGCGCCTCATCCTCGTCCAGCTGCCAGTCCAAAGGCTGGTAATCTTTCGTTCCCCGGACTTCCGCATCTTGAGGAAAATGACCCCAGGGGCCACAAAGACCTTGTGGCCGAAGGCCAAACCTTCCGGGCCAACCATGTTAGTTGCTGGCCGAACATTGACTGGTGCTTTGCTAACCCTGAATGTTTTTCAGGGTTTGAAGAATGTTTTTAATGTCACCCCTGTACATAGTTCGAGCGTACTCTCATTTGTTTCTCAGGAAATCGCTTTGTGTGCATGTGGATCAAGCTCGATCCCTCAGCTCTCAATCGTTTTGGCTATTAGTTTCGAAAGTAGCTTGGCTTGAGCAGAACCAGTCTACGGCGTAAAAATCGAACTCAATTGTAGCTGTTGCGGCTATTATTTCTTAAAGTAGCTGGGTTCGTGTAGAGCCAGTCTGCAGTGAGCATGTCAAGCCCGATCGTAGCTGTTGCGGCTATTAGTTGTGAAAGTAGCTGGGCTCGAGTAGAGCCAGTCTCGGTTGCGCACGTCAAGCGCAATCTGGGCTGTTGCATCTAATATTTGTGAAAATAGCTTGCTTCGATTTGGGCCATTTTGCAGTGTTGATGCAGGCCACCCGATTTTCTGGTTGCTTGTCCCTGTGCTTCTTTCCAGTGATTAAAAGAATACCATGCTAAGTAGAGTGTGCTAGGGTGATACAAAATCTAGTGAGTGTATGCCGGTCGTAGCTTAATATATGGTACTAGCTTACTGCTCAATATGTGCAAGCACAGGATGACTTCTTATTAATTGTGTTCCAAAAAATGAGACGTTTACAATTCCCTGTAATGCCGAATAAGAATGCAGCTCTTAGGAGGGTACGGAGAGGAGGGTATTGTTTGTTTATACCACATTTCTGGGACGCGGATCGAGTGGATTTGGGGATGAAGAAACGACATACAGCTGTCAAGCTGCCATCTTGTTTGTCAAGTGGGAAGAGAGGGGGAAAAATACAAACAATAGGGTAACGGCTGCACGAACCTTAGCGCTGGATTCGTGGCGCCATCTGATAACGGTCCATTACACTACAAACAGGTATGCCCCTCTTCCTCCTCTGTACACTCCCCTCCATCCTCCCTCTACCCCTTCTTTCCCTCCTCCCTTGTGACCTTCACGAGTGACCTTTGTGACGTCACTCGTGACCCTAGTGACGTCATATGTGATGTCATTATGGGAAACGTCCCAATGTAACACACAGTTACGCAAACACCGACGCCGCTCACTCTGGAGACGGGCGCCTAAGAGCTGCACTCTAAAAGACATTCTTCATGTGGGCAATGTGCATCTTGCAGGTGTTGTGGAAGCTTGCCGCAGTATATGTGCACCGCAGCTGCGAGCTCAGCTATGGCCGCGAGTGAATACTACCTGTAAAATGAGCTAGATGTAAAAGCACCTGCACACACATATTTATGTAACAGACTCTCAGCTTTGTGTGTGCATTCGTTTGACTCGGCAGCTCAGTACAGTGGACCCAAAGAAAATGGGTCCCAAAGGAAATGAGGTTCAAGTGTTGTGTTCGTCGCCTTTCGACCTACGGAGATGTAGATTTTTCGGCATAAAACATCAAATTCATGTTACTGCTTGCCATGTTTTGGCTTTACCTCATTAGCCTCTAGCCTGTGTATTTTGTGGTGATGGTGCAATAAAAATAAAATAACCATTGTATTGTTTGCATTGTCTAACACCTTTTTAAAATGTACCTTCTAGCATTTGAGCAGCGTACAAGATTAATTCTGCTATCGATAAGTGCAGTGTCCTTTCATTAGAACACCGACCTTAACTTTTAACTGAAATGACATGGCTCAAAGTTTCAGTGTTCTTGAATGTGCACAGATCATTCTTGCTTTGGGGAGAACTTTCTGGTATGTTTCCTAGAGTGGGCCCAGTATTTAGTATTTGCATACCCAAGATGCAGTTATGAAATCAATGTTAGCTTTGTTAGTAGAACCCCCAATCATGTCTACCTCAAAAGGCTCGACTTGTCTGCATCAAATGGCACATACTGCATTCTACATATTTGTAGAAACAGTAGTAACATGACAGCTCACTGAACCTGTGGATTTGGTAGACGGCTCTTTTTTCATTTTCTTGGGTCATTGGATTTTGCCTGATTGCAGCAAGTGCATTCATTGTTTTGATTTGTTTGTAATAAAGGGTTTCAATCCAGAACTCTTGACAACTTCTATAATTTAGCCAGGCAAATTAGAAGTGAACAAAGTTCTATGAGCTCATAAAAGGTGTTTTTGATTCTATTAGAATGTTCAAATCCAGAGCTCTTGACTACTACTATAATTCAGCCAGGAAAATAAGAAGTGAAAAAAAAATTGATTGAGCACATAGAACGTGTGCTTCATTTTTATGTGCAGTAAAGACAAAGGTATAATAAACTCGCCCTTGTGGAAATGTCAACTCTGCAGCTAAAAAATTTTACGTGCTGCAACTTTTTTTTTTTTTACTTTTTGTCTCGTGCGTAGCATCGGTTGGTACCGCGAGTTCAGTACGGATCGTATGTATGATCTCTATGGAACAGATGCCGTGCTTTCTTTTTAGCAACTTTTGTAATCTTGTTAAATTTCTCTCGAATTACGCGTTTTTGTTTCTGCATTTCGTACACCAATTGATACTTTTTATTTTTGCACCAAATTACATTCGTCTTTACCTTTCAAGGGACGTACAGTGCTGTTCCTTTTTCTTAGAAAATGCATCGGCACGAACGGACATTTCTGTGGACACCTTTGTTCGGCGTACGCAGTCAACGTCGACGATGGTGGTGATAGACAGGTCCAGAACCGCGGCTTGCTCTCGCTTTTCACGTGTAACCACGGTTTGCACGAAAAACACGACGCAGTTGTGAGACTGTCGTCGTTTGTCGCTGCCCAAAACGACCGCGGCGTAGCAGAAGCAGACGACCCCGTGTCACATCCACGTCCGGATTCTTCGTTTTTCTTCGTTTTCCCTAGATTCCTTCTCGAGGCACCGCTCACTCCGTTGTAGGTACCGGACTCAAGTCCTGACTTGGCTGAGACGGTTCCGATTTCGTTTCGAGGAAGCGGCTCAAACGGCGTCTTACGCTGGGTCTCAGCTGAGACCCAACCCACACGAGAAAACAAAATGTCGGACGTGGCTACGACCAGCCACTACACACCGGCTACAAGTCATTTTTACCGGGTGAATTCTTTCGTTAAAGCGAGTTTAGACTGCTTCTACGCCATCGACGTCTTCGACAGGAAAGCCTGCCACGACTGTTTCGTTTTCGGTTTGGTGGTTTCGCAATCGCTTGTTTTCCTGTGAGCTTGACTGGTCACCCATGTCCTGATGGAAGTGCTCAGGTAAGAAATAATATCAATAACACCACTGTTTAGTTGTGCTCTTTCGTAAAGGCAAATGTGAATAAGTTTGGCATTATTATAACTTATTTTTGCGGTTCAGGTTCTGAAACAAATACAGCGCCATCCATTCAAAAATGAACGGAAAGCAAGACGTTGTACGTAGTCTCATTGTTCAGACGATTTTCAACCCGAGGATCACGGAGTTGGCCGAGGTACAGTTCCGAGGCAATCCTTTCTTTGTGAAATGATGTGTTTCGTGTTTAAAAAAAGTCGGAAAATCAAACAGTTTCTCAAAATGCCAGCATCAACTCCCGACAAACGTCATGTTCCAAAACATTTTGGAAGATAGCGAGTAGCTTGATACGTTATAGCAGTGTTAATGAACCTTCGCTAGGAATTGTTATGGCGTGGCTATATATATTTGAATCGAAACTGCGCTAGCATTTTTATTGACTGTCGTGAACGAATCTCAGGCATATTTCTCCACTTAAGGTGGTCACCAGCAGCGGAGCTCCTCGGAACCAACGCCGGACAAGTAGGTAGTCCTGTTGGTGGTCGGCATATGCTCAGAGATCGTGAGGTGGTCGCCAAGTGACAAGGAAACACCCATGACCTCCACATGCTATCGCACTGTATCAAAGACAACTTCGGAGGAGGAACTTCAAACGGGCTCGTCATCGCGGATGGCGATCGGCTACGATGGCCGTGATTGATCGTGCCCTACCGCTGGGTAGACACGCCAGCGGAGTGCGCATACAACCAGGTGCACAGAAAACTGGAAAAAAGTAAGGGCTAGAGGTAAGGGTTGTTTTTGAATTAGTTAGGTACAATTGCTAATCATGCTGTCTACGAATATCTCGGGGCCAACTTTTTTTTAACGGTCTGATCATACTGTGCTTGAAATAATGAGGCCGTAACTAAAAAACGTTTTTCAGTACACTTCAAATATAGTCACTGTTAGATCCTGGCCGGTGAATGATGACAAGATAACATTAACTATTTATTAACTCAAGATACAAAGGCTACATGACGACGTGACAGGTTTGCTGGCTGGTGTAGGCCGTTGACTGCATGCTTTGCAATGTTCCCGCGGTGTGACATGGTCTTCTAGGTTTGGCATCTGTTTCCAGATGGTACCACCACTCAATACACAACACTCCTTCCCCCTAAGTGAACTCTTCCTCGAAGACCTCGAGCCCCGTCTGATCGCTTCTGCCTGGCCACATCCACATCTTGCACTGAGCCCATCACCGACGTGTGCACTGCGCTGCCTGTATCCGGGTACCCAGGTGGTTCAGGACGAGCAGCTTGCCGCTCTCCGTGGCTGATGCTGTCTGTTGCAACCCTCAATGCACCGCTCCTATACGCTTCGTCGACAGAACGTCGCATGATAATGCCCTCCTGGGTGCGGGTTTTGTAGGAAACTGGACCAGTCATTTCAACCACTGTCGCCAGTATCCATGAAGGGCCACTGCTGTAGCTGCATATGAATACTGGGTCTTCTGGTCGAAACATTCGTGACTTCGGTTGGGCTCCTTCGCTGGAATTCTCATCAGCTCCCTTCCTCATGCTCTCAGTCAGGTCCGGGTGCAATCGGTCAAGTATCGTCTTCAACCTCCTGTTCATCAGTATATCCACTGGGCTCCTGCCTGTCATCATGCATGGTGTTACATGCTGCTGTAGCAGAAAACTGGCCAGATGCTGCCCTCATGTTCCCTTTTACAATACGCTGTAGCGAATCTTTCATTGTGTGCACCATGCGCTCTGCTTGTCCGTTAGTTGACGGGTGGGAGGGTGCTGACGTGATGTGTCTGATGAGACCGGCTTTCAAGAATGTGCGGAATTCTTCGGAGGTGAACTGAGCCCCGTCATTCGAGACCACGGTGCTGGAGTTGCATTCCATGTGTCTACTGAGGCACGAGGAGGTGTAGGTCGTTACTCTTGGCATGCCATGCACTTGATCACATGCTCTTCTATGCTTCTGTCCATCTTGGGCCACCACACATAGCTGCGAGCTACAGCCTTCATTTGGACGATGCCAGGATGTCCGACATGGAGGGCCTCCAGCAACAACTTCCTGCCTTCTGAAAGAATTACGACCCTGTTCCCCCAAAGTATACATCCTTTGTGAACCGGCAGCTCATGTTGTCGAATCTTGAATGGCTGGAAATTTGCCTGAAGGCCTCCTGGCAGCTAACCCTTCAAAGCCCAGTTGAGAACCCTTCAAACGGTGTTCTTTGCTGTCATTTGTGCGACGTCCTTGGCGTCGAGCGGTGGGTTGGATGTGTTCTCCAGAAACAAAACTTCTAGAGGGGTGGCACCACAAACTCTGTAATGGTAAGTGAGAGGCGACTAAATGCATCGGCATGTTGTACGTCCTTCCGAGGTCAATGATCCAAACTGTAGTTATAAGCATTCTGTAGGATCGTCCAACGCAACATTCGTGGAGACAAGATGTATGGCATTTGCTTTGCAGGTGTGAACAGTCTTAAAGGTGGTTTGTTGTGTTATGATCTCGAAGACAATACGCATAGTCATGGAACTTTACGCTTGCCAGCACTGCAAAGGCTTCTTTGTTTATTTGAGCATAGTTTGGCTTGGTAGATGTCAATGTGCGGGAGTAAAATGCGACGGGGACCTTTTTGTCATCTTCCGGTCGACGGACAAGGACAGCTTTAATGTCGGTCTTATGGCGAGGCATCACAAGTGAGCACAAAGAGCTTTGTTTCATCATAATGGTGCAGAACACTTGCTGAGGACAGCAGCTGCTTGCGTTCGTTGAAAATTTGTTCATTAAGAGGCGTCCACTCCCACCGTGCCTCTTTGTCAAGTAGCTGACGTAGTGGCTCGCCCACCGCTGCCTTTTTCGTTGAAAGATGCGATAGAAGTTTAGCAGTCTTAGGAAAGCCTATAGCTCCTGTTTGCTTGTTGGTACTGGTGCCTCATGAATCGCCTTCACCTTTTCTTTTGTTGGGTGCACACCCGTCTCGTCAATAAGAGATTCCAGGAACTCGAGCTGCGACACTTCAAAATGGCACTTTTCACTTTTTACCCTGAGTTCAGCATCAGCAAGACGGTGCAGAACTTCCTCGAGGTGGCCTGCCAACTCTTCTTTGGTGCTTGCAGCAATTAGAACATTATCGAAATATGACACAACCCCGGTGATCTCCTTCAGGAGGTCTTCCATGAAGCTCTGAAAGATCCCAAGAGCAACATTTACTCCAAACCGTAGCCGCTTTACTCGAAATGCTTCTCGATGGGTTGTGATCGTTTGTGCCTACACCGCTTCTTCATCAACCACCAGCTGCTGGTAAGTTTCTGCCAAATCCAGTTTTGCAAACAGCCTCCCCCCTGAGAGTGATGCCAGGAGGTGCTGTATCAAGGGGATCGGGTATGGGTGTTGAGCCAGTGCCTTTGTTGAAAGTGCACTTGTAGGCGCCGCATATTCTGGTGTCTCCAGTTGCCTTCATGGGCGTCACAATCTGGGTCTCCCACTTTGGTTGCGTGACCGGCTCCAAATGCCTTGTTCAATAAGGCAATTATGTTCAGCGTCCATTTTAAGCGTGAGCGCGAAGGGCATTTGCCAGGGTTTCATGCGGATTGGCATCATTGTAAAGTCAAGGTGCAGCGATACTGGGGGTCCCTCAAACTTCCCAATCTTTTACCCAAAAACGCCATCATACTTTGCAAGCACACCTTCAATAGACAGCCCTGTTGCCTTATTTACTCCTAGCAGCCTGATTCCCAATGGTTTAAACCAGTTCATGCCAAGGAGGGTTGTCCACTGTCCCTGTGCTACTAGCAGTTTCAGGTGTCCTTCGAAACTGCCGTGCTTGACATGGACCTTATACACCCCCTTGATCTGCACCGTATTGCAATGAAAATCTGACTTGCGATTGAAATGGCTCACCCGGTACAGCATCTTCTTCATGAACTCATTTGTTTGTTCTGGGATTATCGATAACTCTGACCCCGAGCCAACTTCCATTATTGCCGACGTCCGGTGCTTACGTGTCTGCGATGCCTGTGGCGGGGCCAGTTGGTTAGTATTGTACACATCATCAGATTGTGTGTCCAAGTTCAGAACGTTCGCCGCGGTTTTGGATCCTCTTGTTCCCATGGCCCGCTCTGCGCTCATTGTTTCATGTGACACACACAGTCGATGCGGCCGATTTTTCTGCATAAATGACACTGGGCTTCCTTAAATTGACAATACTCCCGTGCGTGAGCTCCTCCGCACCCATTGCAAGGCTTTGTTTTCCCGTGGTATACTGTTCCCTTGTCGGTTGCCTCAGCATGTTTTCTCTTTCCTCTTAGTCCTGACGTATGGCAACAGCGGTTCCCACAGCTGGTTATCCTCTACTCACATCGTGGGTGCTTTAAGCCGCCGCTTCAGCTGCCAGCACTTCTTCCTGAGCGATTCTGAACGAGAGTTTCTTTTTTGCGAAGAGTCGAGCTTCAAGAGTTTTATCCCTCAGGTCACACACGAGTCGATCTCACAGTGTTTCCGTGAGATTTGGAAAGTTGCAGTTTTGTGACAAACGCCGTAGTTCCACAATGAACAAGGCCACAGACTTCTCGGGACCCTGATTCCGCCGGTAAAGGCATTCTGGCGTACAATCTATGATGGTTGGCTGAAGGTCTTCGTTTTGGGAGTTTCCAACGCGAGTAGTGACTGTACTAAGTCAAAAATGGCAACTCCGCAAACGCTAAAAAAAAACAAAAAAAAAAACACGTTTCTGCTTGGGTTGGTGATATCGTTTGCCTCGAGGTGGAAGTTCAATCTTGCCTCGTAGGCGTCCCACTTCTCCGGAAACGCAGGGTTGAATTCTTCTATCAGTCCCAGGGTCGCCATTTCTTGTCGAGGGTACAAGGAGGGTACCCGAACAAAGGGCGGTGATCACAAACCTTGTGCCTCACCTGTACGTTCCGATGTGGGGCCGTAGAGTGCTGCAGTCTCTATGCAATCTTATCCTCATCACCAGATGATAGATCCTGGCCAGTAGATGATGACCTGATAACATGAACTATTTATTGACTCAAGATACAAAGACTACGTAATGAAGACATGATAGGTTCACTGGCTGGCGTTGGCCGTTGACTGCGTGCTTCGCATTTTTTCCGCGGTGTGGCGTAGTCTTCTAGGATTGCGATCCGTGTCCCAGATGGTGCCACCACTCTACACACAACAGTCACCATGAACAATCTATGAAACTGTGGCTACTGCCAGAAACTTTCGAATAGGACACTGAAGTAAAAATTTTTGTCAGAAAAAATGGGTAATTACAAGCACAGAGACGTCAGAACCATTCAGCAGATTAGGGGGGGGGGGCGACAGTGGTGGGGGGGGGGGGGGGGAGGGCGAGCTTGCGCCCCTCCCCCTTATCTTTTCCATTAAATTTCTGACCTGTCGGGGGGCAGTCTCCCCCCCCCCCCCCCCACCCCCCTATTTCTTTTCGACGCCACTGTACAAGCAGAATGTGATTACAACCATCGTGTCTGTAGTCGACTGTATACTGGTGGTTGAGGCGACGGCCATTTGCAGCGAGGGCTATGGTAAAATGCCCCTGATTCAGCTGTAGCACTTGCTATGTATCGCGGCGATATTTTCAATGAGTCCTCCCGCAACAGAGTAACCGTAAAAGAAAAGAAAGTCCGAGTGACAGAGGAGGGCTGCCGCTGCACAGTTGGCAGGTCTCTTCGTGGCGGTGCACTGACGGCACTTTTTAACATTTATGTTCACACACTCTTTGCATCAGCCTTGCCCGTTCGTGATTACGATGCCCTTTGCCTTTATCTTCATGATGTAGTTTCCATGTTTTGAGCGCACCTTCGGGGCCTCCTCGCCGAGTACGGGAAGCATGCCTTGCTACGAGCTCGGCCAGGCAACGATCAGTCGGCAGTGACCCCCAAATGCATGCTCGCTGTAACGCTAACACCGAGACATCGGCTTTTGCGGTCCATGACATATGGATCCTTGCGTTGTTTACCAGTACTTCACTAACTCATAACTTTACTATGAGTGGCGTCTAGAGCCGCTGGTCAAATAATTGCGGGATTCCAGTTACGCCTTGAACCGCATATTTAAATTTGTCCTTCCGACACAATAGCCTTTCGCATCAAAACTTTGTCGGTGGCATTTTGAAACTTTCTGCTCGTAGCTCACTTTACCAACGCCGAAATATACCGTACGTGCTGGTTGAATGTCGTCATCGTAAGTTTGGCACAGTTTTTCAAGTTCTCATGTCAAAAACCATGTAGTTTTGTAGAAAATATGGTGCACATCAGTGCATGTCCGGGCAATTTGTGGCATCTTATACCTTGGTAAGTGCTTCCATGTAGTGGGAAGTCAATCACCAGCATGGTGCGGGGCCCCCGTTCGTGTGCCGTCTGATAAGCAAGTTAGTTGCTTCGTTTTATATGAACCACAGGCAGCCCAAGGAGTTGTGGCTACTTTTCGGTACAGTGCAGTCAAACGCACTGAAACGAAACTGTGTGTATGGGCCATTACGCCGCTGCGCTTCCATTTTGGACCTGCAGTTTGTACTTTCTTTCGTTGTCCTTCCCACTCGGCTTTGACGTCAGTGGATCATAGATGAAGGTTGCTCAAACATAAAAAAGATATGGATAGTTAGGTGTCTTGGCTGACTGTGCCTTAACCAACTTCGACAAAAGGCAGCAAGAACGGAGATGATTGTAAGGATTGCAAAGAAAAAAAAAAGCTTTGATGCGGACTGCATGCCACGTCGGCGGTGACATCGCTCAGGCCTGTACAAGTACAATGGTGCGCAAGGCAAACATTTTTTTTTTGCGGGTACGGTCCTTACACGTGTTTATTACAGTAATGATTTTCACTTTTACTTAGCTGAGTTTGTAAAAGTCGTTGCATTTTTTTTTATGATGTCATCATTTCTTTAGTTTTGCGTGTTGCTAAATGAAATACATAATGCAGTGGAATTTTTTTGCATACTTGGAACCAAAAAGACATTGAAGAGAACTAACCAAAAAGAACTGTTTATTGTATTTACAAAGTAAAGCTAAAACGGCAATGCCTCTTTGCCAAGCTGAAGGCCCCTCCTCCCCTTTAAGGGCCTTGTTTTAGGGCCTTCCCAAGTAACGTGAACATTTTTTCTCTCTGTTCAATATAGAAGTTGGCTGCCTTTTTCTTAATTTCGGCAGCCTCGCAGGCTGCCCTTGCTGCCCTTGCCTGCTCTTCCGTCGCCTTCAGTTTGGCAAGGAGGCACTGCCGTTCTAACTTTATGTTCTCGTGTTGTTGCTCCAGGATGTCTCTATAAAACTGTTTGTCTGCAGCCCGTGTGCTGGCTGCCGAGCCTGCGAGTGGTGTGCTGGGCCTCCAGACCGGTCGTGGGCGAGGTGGTCCCCGCCTGCCCAGTGGTGCCGGTCGCCCTTCAGCAGCAGCTGCTGCCTCAGGTGGTCCTTTTGCCACAGGAGGAGGCCCCTCCCGACGTAGCAGCGCAGCTGCTGCACCAGGCTCCACGGGTGCCTCATCCTCGTCCAGCGGCCTGTCGGGAGGCTCGTAGTCTGGGGTGTCATCGGATTGCGGCACCTCGAGCAAGGCGACCCCGCGGTTCACGTCGACCTCATAGATGAGGTCCCCTCCTCCCACCTCGTTGGTGGTTGGCTGCATGCTGACTAGTGCTGTGCTGGCCCTAAGTAAAATACTCAAGAATGTCAGTCTTGTCACCCTTGTACATAATTTGAGAACAACCTTATTTGTATTTCATTCATGCTTTTTTGTGTATGTGGATCCAGCTCGACTCCTCAGCTCTTGGACATTGCTGCTATTAGTTGTGAAAGTATGTCGACTTTAGTAGAGCCTGTCTACAGTGTGCAGGTCAAGCCCGATCTTGGCTGTTGCGGCTATAAGTTGTGAAGGCAGCCGGCTTCATACAGATCCAGTGTGCACTGTTGATGCCGGCTACATATTTCTGGTTGCTTGTCCCTACAATACTGTTTTATGTCAAAAAGACTACCATGTTGAGTAGCAGATGTGCTCAGGGTTATTCCAAATTTAGTGGTAGTGTCCACTGGTCGGGGCTTAATAAATTGTACTCACTGTACACCATAATTGAACTGACTGCTCAGGATTACTTCTGATTTCTTTTATTTATCAGTACTTTTCACCCTTTCAGGGAGGTTTTATTCCAGAAAAGACATTCCTTATTGTATGCAATGTGCATGTTGGAAGTGTTGCAAAAGCTTGACGTCGGCATGTGCTCAGCCGCAGCGAACTCAGCTGTGACAGTGAATGCTACCTACAAAATGAGCGAGATTTGAGAGCACTAATCTCGCACAAATATGTTTATGTAACAGACTGTCTCAGCTTTGTGCCTTCATTCATTTGACTTGTCATCTCAATACAACGGACCTGAAGCAAATGAGGTCCAAGCTTTCTGTTCATGACCTTTGGGTCTACGTAGCTGTAGAGTTTTCAGCATAAAACAATATATTTGTTTTGCTGCTTGTCATAGTTTGGCTTGACTTCATAAACGCCTAGCCTGTATACGGTAGTCTTGCGATAATTCAAACTCAGATATTATACTTCTGGTTAATTCAAACAAATTTTCTAAGTTTGGTTGTCCCGCTATGTTTTTAGTGTATCCATATGCCACTTAAACCGAATGCCGTTTTCCTGTAAATCATATTTTTTGTTCTTGCAGCCCTTTTGTTGAGTGTGTTTCTTTCCGAGCACCGGTGCACTCCAGAGGGAACACCCATGGAGCTGTTGCTTCTCCACAATGCACCGGAGCTTGGTGATAAGCGCACTCAACGGGGCTCATGCGGAAATTTCCACAGCAACTTGCACAGACGCTATGATGTGGCAGCATGGCATACACCGAGCACCGGTGCATTGCGGAGAAGCGACAAGTCCATGGGTGTTCCCTCTGCAATGCGCTGGTGTTCGGAAAGAAGTGCACTAAAAAAAGGGCTGCAAGAACAAAAAATATGAATTACAGGACAACGGCGTTGAATTAAAGTGGCATGGGCATAGCATGGGCAACTCACAACGTACGCACAAGTTTCTATGAAAACTGTGGCGCAGTGCCCGTTTTCATTGTTCATGTGTCCCCGTTTAATATTTCACACTAGACAACTTCTTGAACTGATGAACAAACTGAATTTTGTTTTGAGTTATCATGTGCTGTTTGAAGAGCCCACAACAATGAACATTTTTGAGGGATAAATCAACTTATGTCTTACATTTCACGATTGTTTCATGTGTAGCATACCTGGTTATGATCAGTAGGCTTATGTAAAGGAAAGCATAAATTTCTTCTGTGTACGTGAAGCCATTCATAAAGCGAATCATATTTTATCTTGCCTCATTATTTAGATAAATTTATAATAAATCAAACAAAATTCATAGCTTCCTGGATTGAAATCATGAGAGTATAATGTATTTTGTAATGGTAGTGTAGTACAAACACAATCACCTTTGTCTTGTTCGCATTGCACGACACCTTTTTGAGATATACCTTCTACCATTTCAGCATTGTACCAGCCTAAGTCTGCTATCATTTTTCTGTCCCAAACCTTCAAGACTCGGCCAACGGCGCTTGCGATGTTCAGAAGACTGTGTCGTCCTCCCCTTGTACATGTCGGCTCATAATCACCATCATTTTAATCTTGCATCTCACAAGATTAGGTCGTGATCTTATATCATCACATAATCACCATCGCTAGATGTGGCATTGCGGGCGTACCTTGTACGGGCTGTTGCCTTTCTGCAGTGCTGTGGCTCTCCTGATCAAATAATTACTATTATTATTATCATTTATATTCTTATTATTATTATCATCATTGATGAGTACAGTGGCCTTTCATTGACATGTCTAGGTCGACTTTAACTTCAAGTAATATGGCTCAAAGTTTTAAAGTTCTTGGATGTGTACGGTTCTTTCTTGCTCTGGAGAGAACACACCTGAACGTTTCTTTGAGTGGCCCAGTATTTAGTACTTGCGAACCCCAGATATGATTATGAATACAATATTAGCTTTGCTAGTAGCACCCCCAATCGTGTGAATCTCAAAAGGCTAGACTTCGCACGAATAGTAGTAACATGACAGCTCACTGGTCGGTGTCGATGCCTCCTTCAATACCCAGAAGGTTGGGGCTAGTGGTACCGATGACCGCCAGCAAAGCTTCAGCCAGCGGTGTCAGTTGGTAGTTGTTGCGCCCTGCGCCTGTGGAAGAGAAGGTTCTCTTTATACTTTGTTTGGGCATTAAATTTTGTCTGATTGCAGCAAGCACATTCATTGTTTTGATTTGAATTAATTAATAGGTTGATATCTTAATTGCTTCTATAATTTAGCCAAGAAAATGAGAAAGGGAAAAAAAATTCTTCAGCACACAATGTGTGCTTCATTTTTATGTGCAATAAAAACATATGTATAGTAAACTCACCGGTCGTGGAGTGTGCCTTCTTCGAGAGGGTCAGTTCAGCGCGGCTACGAGATTTCAAGTTTTGCCACTGCTTTTTGAGCTGCGGCACAGTGCGCAGCGTCGATGGATGCCGCGAATTCATCACGGATGCGATCTCCTGCCATGATTTTCTTTTAGCGGCTTTTGTAATATTGTTGTTAAATTTGTTCTTAATTACACGTTTGCGTTTCTCAATTTCGTAAACCAATTGAAACTTATCATCTTCGGACCAATTTGATTTCTTTACCTTGGGAGGCATCCGTGATGGACCGGCGACATTCATGCCTGCGTGCAGCAAACGCAGACGGTCGTCTGCTAACTTAATGATCGAAACATAATTATCAACTTTTATTGCAAATGCTTCCGAGAAAATACGTCCAGTGCAATTTTTTAGAGCGCAGCTCTTAGGGGCCCGTTCCCGGCTTGAGCGGCGTCGGCGTCGCCGTTGGCGTCGCCGTCGCCGTCGGCGTCGCCGTCGGCGTAACCAAGGTCACCCCAAGGTCACGCGACCCCCCAAGGTCATCCCAAGGTCACGCGGCCCCCAAGGTCACGTGACCCCTCCCCCAGGGTCACGTGACCCCCAAGGTCACGTGACACCCAAACTCACGTGACGCTCCCCCGAGGTCACGTGACCACCCCAGGGTCACGTGACCCCCTCGCCGAGGTCACGTGACCTCCCCGATGACGTCATCGTCACTGATGACGTCACCGGCATCCACATCGTCATCGTCATCATCACTGATGACGTCATCAGTGACGTCACTGATGACCTCACCGGCATCCGCATCGTCATCGTCATCATCACTGATGACGTCATCAGTTACGTCACTGATGACGTCACCGGCATCCGCATCGTCATCGTCATCATCGCGGATTACGTCATCAGTGACGCCACTGATGACGTCATCGTCATCCGCATCGTCATCGTCATCATCGCTGACGACGTCATCGGAGTCCGCATCGTCATCGTCACTGATGACGTCATCAGTCACGTCACTGATGACCTCACCGGCATCCGCATCGTTATCGTCATCATCACTGATGACGTCACCCGCATCCGCATCGTCATCGTCATCATCATGGATGACGTCATCAGTGACGTCACTGATGACATCATCGGCATCGTCACGTGACCCCCAAGGTCACGTGACCCCCCCCCCAGGTCACTTCACCCCCAGTACCCTTCCCTCCTCCTCCTCAAGAGCTGCGCTCTAATTCGGTGTTACAGGGAGTTGTAAACGGCTTTCACTTTTTTTTCTTTAAAAATAGGGCGTCTAAGGACACGCAGGCATTTCTGTAGACAACTTCATTCGGCGTACGCACGGGACGTCGACGAGGGTGGTGACAGACGATCGCGATACGAAGCAATATGACAGCGTTGGTGCGCACTAAACTCTATCCAAAACCGAGCATCGCTGACTTTTTTTCTTTCTTCTATTTTGCACGGAACCACGGTATGTACGAGACATGTGCCGCAGTTTTGCGACTGTCGTCGTTTCTCTTTGCCCAAACCGATCCCAGCGTAGCAGAAGCAGACAATCTCTCGCTTGCCGCCTCGCGTCACCGGCGCTTTCTTATTGGACAGGAGTTCACAACTCGTCACTTCCACGTCCGGAATCTTCGACCGTGTTCCAAAATTTACTCGGTCTCACTCTAGGGTGAAGGTTTGCGATCGAAAACGTACCCGCGTCCGGCATTACTCGATTTTCGTTGTCACGTGACATGATCCGCGAAGGTAACTCGAATCCATTCGAGTAGCTCTGGAACGCACCCTTTGTTTTCGACAGTATTTCTTCAGTTTTCCCTAGATTCTCTCTCTAGGTACTGCTCACTCCGTTCTTGGCGGTCTTGGTGCCAGACTCAAGTCCGGACTTTGCTAAGACCGCTCCGGAGA